GGCGCGCTGCCGCGCCGGTGGCGCCGCGGGGTTTGCGGCGGGCTGGGCAAGGCAGCCGGGGCCCTGCGGAAGACAAAGTGCGGAAACAAGCTTTTCCAGGTTTAGTTTTAGTTTCCCCAAAGCTGTGTTGATTTTGGAGGTGGCCGAGTTGTTCATAATGAAAGATCTCATGTAAGTTCAGTGTTAAAGAGTTTCCCTGTTTGTGTTACTGCTTTGTAGTCCTTATTGTGTTTTTGCTTGTAACGCTTACTTTTTTGTGTGTTTATACCACAGTTTTACTGTTTTTGATGTTTAGCTGTAGTCAGCATAGAAGGGCGTTTGTGTATTGTGTTGCTCAGACTTATTCAAATAAATTTTTTAATTTGTTCAGGTTGTTATCTCTGAATATTTATAGATAAATGAGGTAAGAGAAGGGCTAACACAGAAAACAAACACAGAGATGCCATGTTTTCCTCAAGAACTGCATCCACCTCTTTTGCCCCCGAACCCTGGCGTTTTCGTATCTAGGATGATATCTGCCTTTACAAATAGAAAAGAGAAGAATGTTTTCATTTAGCTGAATATTATTTTTCTTCTCATGTATAGTTTTTGCTTTAATTTTGGTGTAGGTTAATGCTGAACCTATTCCCCAAGAACCTAGCAAAAGTCGAGCCCCTCCATCATTTGAAGTTTCTGCACACTACTTTGTCTCGGAAAGGTCTGGAGGAGTTTTTTGATGATCCCCAAAACTGGGGAGAAAAAACAGTATCGTCTGGTGAGCTATACCAAGCTTTTCTGATTGTGTTTTTTAGCCAGTTGTGCTCAGCTGAAATGTGACCTATTCTTTTGCACTGTAAGAGTATTGATAGCCACATGAAACTCTTTATATATATATATAATATATATAAATAAATATATACATATATGTATACTTGTGTATATTTATGTACCAATGTACCTTATGCTTGTTAACTTTCTCTTCTTCTGTGTATTGTATACTTATGCAAGCAAACAACTATCACGCAGCAAAATACTTGGCTATAAATCATCTTCTTTGCTTCTATGTGACGCTAGATCACAGAAGAAACGTTCTTAGTTTCTTTTTCAACGATATATTTGAACGATCTTGTCTCTTTGTTTCAATGTAGGGATTCATCTTACAGCTTTTCCCTCTCTTCATCCTCTTACAAACAGATCAACAGTACATAAGTCATTGCACTGAATGTACTCGTATATTCAAAGCAAGTTTGAGTATGCACAAGGATAGAGATTTTCAAGAGGTAGTTGTTTTAATTAAGTGATTCTACTTCTGTTGAGTTAGCTGGGTCTGTAAAGGAAGTATCCTTTTTCAGAAAAAGAAACTAAATTCCCTTAGACTGATACTTTCTTCTTTTTTTCAATAACTTTTACAGGGGATGCATGGAATATAAAGCAGCTAAGGGGCAAGAGTAGTGAAGATTTGCACAAACTTTGGTAAGTAAGCTTCAGTGAGCTAGCTTCTCTTCTTTCAAAGCAGCTCTGCAGGTTTTATGGAAGTATGACTGCATTAGTCAGTAAATTTAGTCCGCCTTACAACACCACGTGTTTAAATCTGCTTTGGGCTTGGAGCAGCCCAAGTTCTATTACTAGTCAGAATATGAAAGCTGTAATGCAGATGGTAGTGTTGTAGTTGTGTCCAGTACAAACGGTTCAGGTTTGGTACAGAGGCCAAGTTTCATACTGTAGAATCCTGACCTTTGGAGTTCTTCAAACTGTAGAAAAAATTTGGTTGGAAGGGACCTCTGGAGCTCTTCCAGTCCAACCTCCTGTTTCAGGCAGGAGGAGGCCCTAACTACTGAAAGAGATCAAGTTGTTTAAGACTGTGTCCATTCAAATTTTGAAAATCTGTGAGATCGTACCACCTCTCTAGGCAACCTATGCCACAGCTAAACTAGTACTTAGTTATTACTGTGGATTTTTTTTTTTTTAAACTTCTGCCCAATTGGTTCCTCTATTGCAACTTGTGACTGCTGTGTTTTGTCCTCTTCCTGTGCACCTGTAAGGAGAGTCTGGCTCCATCTTCTCTGTAATCCCTTCTTCCAGGTAGTGGAAGACTGCAGTTGCCCTCTCCCCCCTCCCCCTTCTTTTCTCCTAGTTAAATAAACCCATCTCCCTCGGCCTCTCCTCATGTCACGTACATCAGCCTTCCCCTACCCACCTCTGCCATACTGCCTCCAGTTTGTCAGGATCTTTTGGTCTCTCTTTATGGAGCTAACGGGTATAGGATATGGGATTATAGGTTGTCCAATTTATGCCCTGGCCAGCAGGGTAGTGAGTGAATAATTGCCAATGGATCTAGAAGTTATTTTTGAAGTACTACTATGCTTTTTGATCTAGGTATGTCCTACTGAAGGAAAAAAACATGCTTTTAACTTTAGAACAAGAATCAAAGCGACAACACAGGCCAATGCCAAGTCCAGAACGATTAGAAAAGGTAACTTTTTCATATGAGCTAAAAACATAACTCTAAATAAAACGGTTGAGTGAAAGGTGAAACCTTTGCAAGCTTGTTGAAGACCTTTTTTAAAATTATCCCCTTTTGAGTACGAGCATAAACAAATGTTGTGCTCGAGCAACGCGGTGGGCAAGGCGTTTATACTTGTTATATATGGTTGAGTTATGAAATATTTCACTGCTTTCAGTCCCTGAAACTGCACTTGAGGATTTCTAAAAACACTTCCTGTTCAAGTGAAAACCTTTGTAGTCTTAACGTTTCACACATTTTTTTTTTTTTCCTCTCCCAGTTGTTGCCAGCTTTTTGCCTCTGATATTCTCTGGCTTCTCCAAACTTGTGTTCTTTGGTTCTTTGCTGTCCCCTCTTTTGTCATCCCCTCTTCTATTGCATTATCATGATTCTGATACTGACTTATTAAATTCTTCCCGCTGTATCTTTACAATTGAAAATTTAATTTACTTATGAATCAGCTCTCATCTCTATGCTGATGTCTCACAGGTGTAAATCTCTACCCTGGCAGTCCAGCTAAATAATCGAGCTGTTGGGACATATAATACATTCTCAGATATCTCATTATTTATCCCAATTCGTTCATTCATTCAGGCTTCGTTTTGGTGAAGCCTGAAATTTACATTTTTCTTCTGAATTTCTTTCTCTGGTTAGTCGTGTGGCTCTGTGTACCATAAAATGCATCTACATGATTTTTATGCCTTCCGAGTCATGCATGCGTTTATTTGGCCTCCTCATTTGTCCATTTGTCACTGTGCTTATAAATTACGGAAGATCTAGTATAAAACTTTCCTCTAGCTCTCCCACTCTATCTTACTATCATTTATCATAGTACTGTTTCTCAACTGTCTTTTGTGATTCCCCTCCTGAACAGTATTTTCTGTTTAGTGCCACCTGTACCACCTGTTGAGCAGCTATGAATCACAGCAGTACTTGCGTTGGGAGGTTTTTTATTTTTGTTATAAAGGGTTCCAAGACTTCATAAGTCAAATCTGCTTTTTTGGGCTTCATCCCAAAACAAACGGGCAATCAGTAAGAAGATAAGCAGCAGTTAAATACTATGATTGCAGTGAGACCAAATACAGCAATTGGCTTAATAAAATTAGCTCTGCCAGCTCCCCAAAGGATTTCAAGTGTTGCCATTAAGTAATGTGTGTTATAGTAATCTTATGAGACAGACTTGCCCCAAAACCTTTAACTCAGATGTCATAATTTGGTCAGTGCAGCTTTCTAATCAACTAACAGGCACTGAGGCTGTAACCAGACTTTAAAGTCAAACTAAAATAACACATAGCTGTCACAAACCATCTAACAGAAATATGGATAGCATATCTTCTTGTTGTTTCTCCTACTTTCCTTTCCTCCCCTGCCTCAGAGCTTTCCATACTTCTAGCCATCAGCATACCTGGCTTTGACTTCTAGCCAGCTAGTCCTTAACGAATATTCAGACTGTTGGTTATTTCGTCTGTGTTCTGCTTGTAATCTCGATAGCTTTTTGCAACACCTGTTCTTTAGTATTCTAGTACACAGCACTGTAGTGTACTACATAGGCCTTACGAAGCTGTTTCACTCAGTCCACACATGTGAGGTGACTCATGATGGAACTTCTAATATTTTTTACCTACGTCTTTTCTTTAAATTTAGTCTGAAAAAATCTTTACTTGGGAGTTTTTAAGTTGTCAGATTGTATTTTGTTGGCCCATCCTGAAACTATTTCCTATTTTCAGGTAGAACAATCTATGAAAAGAATAGATTTGGTTGTCAAAGAAAGAGAAGTTGCTTTGAGGCTTTTACAAACTGGCCACGAAAAACCAGTACCTGGCGAGTGGAGACAGGACTTCTTAGGACGCACCTACTGGTACGGAAAAACATTTTTGGTTTGTGCGTGTGACGTTTCCTTGTGGTATTTCTCTTTACAAGAAAAAACATCCTTCTGATCTAATTAGGAAAGGATGCGTTTACTGCGTAGAAGGAAGCATGCTTACTAGTCAGCATGCAGGTGTGTTTCGATATGTTATGTTGCTGTAACTGTTGCTAAATAGTTCTGTTACCAAACTCCACCCTTAAATATAACAGAGCTAGTTCCATGAAAATAATGTAGTTTCTGTATTGAGAGGATATCTGTTACTGTGGTGATTCCATAACATGTATCCATGAACCACAGAGTACTGTCCAAGCTGACTTGTCTTGGACATTTCTAGTTTGAGGCAATATCCCTATATTGAGGGACAATTGTTGTGACTGCACCTCCCAGAGTACTGAATGAGATGATAAATAATGTATATCTTGGAATTTCCTACTAGTCTTGACAGATATTTAATTTTTTTAAGTTTAACTTTCTACCTTAAAACTATAAATAGTTTCTCTGTAGTTTCAGGTGATGACACTGAGGTCCCTGACAGAAATTGCTATTTTGTTACAGTGTTTTACCCTCACTGTATTGGCATTTGAAGCAGTCCCTACTGAACTTAGCTCCGCAGTAAAAGTGTAGATATCAAAAGGTCACGCATTATGGTAGAGATGAATTTTGAATACTTTGTTTATCCGTAAAATATAAATCAATAGAGTATTAAACATACTAACTACTCAATTTATATCCCTGTAGATAGAGCTTCTGTACATCTCTTTTCATTTGGAAACAGTGCCCACAAAGATGGGTTTGCCCACTTATTGGCACGTCCAGCCCGCAGTTAAAGCAGTGGCTGGGTGGGCACCGTGCAAAATTGTCTCTAAGCACATGCAGATACTCTGCAGTACATATATAGTAGGTCTAGCAAGCTGGATGCATGGAAGACTGTAGGTAAGTCTGTACAAGCCATCTGTGCAGCCCATATGCAAGGGAAATCCCAAACAGAAATAATGGAGTCTCCTATTTAGAGGGAAAGCCTTCTGTTGCTCAAGCAGTTTTGTACTTGACATGACACTCAAACACTGGCAATTTATTAAAAAAAACTGCAGTAGAAACAAAGGTGTCTTCACCCATCAGCTTGCTCCTATCTACTTTTGAAAATTAACTTCTTAGGAGGGAATAACATCTAAAAATATAAATGTTGGCAATAACAATCTGTGTTGTGCCATCTCTTCAAAGGTCTGTGGTTTTTCAAGTGAGATGACTTTTTCCAGAAAGGCGCTGAGCTACAGATGAGATGCACGGAGTTACAAATCAAGCCAAATAGTGAAACTGGAGTAAAAGCCCAAATACAAGTTCTGTGACCTGCTGCTCAGGCTATTTTATCTTCCTACAGTAACCAAGGAGAAGTCTGGTAGAATCCAAGAATGAAGATGCAAAGTATACGTTGCATAATCAATTTCATTTATCTTTAACAGGTATACTTACAAAGAGTGGCCAATACCATGGTACTTGAACAAAAAATACAAAAAAAGGAAATTCTTTTACTTACCTCATGTAAATCACTTCATCAGGTAAGAAGACTTTTTTTTTTTATATTGAAAGTTATTTTCTGATCTGTTCCTCAGTCATCCTCCTTCCACTTTGCAAGGAGAAAATAACACTAGTCTTGTTCTTACAGCTATTAAACTGAAAACAAGGCTTTCATAATCACAATACCTGTTTCCTAGAAAATTCACCAAAGGTTTCAAAATTTGAACCAAGGGGGCAGAGGCTAAACATCTGGGGAACTTGCTCTGTTTTATTTATCATCTTCCTATCTTAGCTGTTAACAGATCTAGCTATCAAGTTGGTACTGTAAAAGCCACTTTACGTGGAAAGCACCTAAGATCCTCCCAAAATGTATGATTTCTATAGCATTCAAAAACAGAAGAGTATTCTGCTTTGCAGGCAAAAACCATTTCTGCTTATCAAAAGCAAATTAACTCTGAAATGGGCAGTCACTAGGAACCTCTATTTGATTAGGGGCAAGAAACTACTGTTTACCCCTGCAATTCTCCCCAATTCTCTCCTTGTCAAAAGATCTCTCACCTTGCCTCAGACCTTCTCCAGTGTCTCCCTTAATGATGTCCCGTTTCCTTGTTCAGCCTTCGGGACTCTATAGTCTCTGCTCCCTCCTTTTTTCTCTTCCCCCATGTTCACGTAGTGCGACTGCAGCCGTTTACTGTTGGGTGCTAAAGCTGTGTCGATCCTAGCTTGAAGTCCTCATTCCAAGCACTTTCAAGCGGAATATCTGAGAGCATATCTGATAAATAGTATCTTTAATAAGCTCAGTGTGGCAAAATTGAAAGAGAAAAATCATACTATGTGGATAAAATAAACTAGAAAGCAGTTAAGCTACCTGGAAGCTAACCACACTAACTTTTTTATTTCAGGCTCAGACTTGAAAAACACTTACGCAGAAGGGCAAGAAGGCAAAACCTAGAGAAGAAAAAGCAGAAACTTTTAGAAAAGAAGTTCCCTCACCTTGCTGTGAAGTCTCAGAGCCAGTAACCTGCTGGAAGAGCCCAGGAAGCACTTGTTTAACTGTGACTGGAACATAAAACTAAAGTTCTCAAACCAGTGAACAAGTTGACTGCGCTTTCCTGAGAGTAGCCCTCTTTTTATTATCTCAGTTTGACCTAAATTAAATTGTGATCTGGCATTAAAGAGCGGTTTTGAAATCAAAAATTGATCCTAACCGTTTTTTCAGGAAGTGTTTGAAAATTAACAAATTAATCACTCATTAAGCTAAGCTTACATAATTAACAGTAAAAAGAAGCAGTTGCCTGCCACATGAAAGTATGAAATTTAGGGATAATATCTGCCTTGTTTAGTTTTAGCACCTGTGCATTAAAATAGCCAAAAGACATGAGACCCACTAAAGGTCACATACCATACTTTGTTCCCTGGCCCTATCAGTTATGGGCATATCACTTAAGTTGCGCTTTCTAAATGCAGGGGAAATGCACTGTAGTAAGTGAACTTCAGCATGCTGCAAAGAATTCTTGCCCTGCTTTGTCTCGCTTGATAGAAAGTATTAAATATTTGGTATGTAAGCTTTTAACAAGGGAGTCTTTATCCTAGATTTCTAGATACCTCGGACAAATGCAGACATTTGTGCAATGTTTTTTTACCACGTACAAACTGTTTGTAGTAAGGCTGGTCAAATTCTGTGCAATTAAGGTAGAAAGGTAAGACTTACTGATGACTAATGCTATCACGTGATGGTAAATAAAAGCTGAAAGGAAGCTTTTACCTCCATAAGTGGTTGGCAAAAAACTTTTTATAAAGTCACTTTTTACACAGAAACCAGTCCTTCAGGAAGCTACTTTTTCTCCCCCCATTTAGCTACCAACTGTTAAATCAATCTTAGTATTTCACTGATGCCAGAACACCTTCATAAAGCATTACACAATTCTGCTGTATTCCTTCTGTCAGCTGGTAAAATTTAAGATACAAGTCTGGTTGACTTTCCACCATCACAGCTTTCTTTTACGTTCTGCTTGAATGCAAACTAGAGCAAGTCTTTTTCTTCTACTGTGATGACTGTAGTTGGTGATTTTGTCTCTACTTGTAGCCCACTTAAAATGAGGCAAACTTATGAGAAATGGGTTTTGTCAACAGCTTGGAAAAATCTCGAGCAAACAACTTGACTTCTAGAACAAAGCAATGGTCGTCATCGTATCACCAAAGCAGACTGTTTTGATAAATTATTTTATTGTTTGGAGGTAACGTGTAACTGTTTTCAATGAAAGGGCCCATCATTATTTAACCAAGGCGTCTGTTAGGGTACCCAGAACTTAGCAGTATTGTTTACATTTTTTTTAAACAGTTATATGCTATTTGGTTTTCCAAAGCTTTTAAGATAACAAGTTTTAAAACTTAAGTTTTAAGCAAAAACTTAATTGTGTCCCGATACAGAACATCACGCAGTTGTAAAATAAAGTAAGATGAACAGCAACGTACAGCTGCATTGTGACAGCCAGTTCCCGCTGAAAAAAATCCTCCTCCTTCCTCTGCCCCTGAGTGCACGCTCCCCGTGCAAAATACAGGCACTTACTACCCTGCTACAAGCCAGCTGAGGGAGCTAAACCAGCATGGAAAGTAGGAACTGCCCCTTTCAGCTCATAGCTAGCTGCAAAATGTCAAGCCACATCCTGAGGTCTTCTATGACTGTTCTCCTAGTTTTGGAGAGGCAATTCTCTGCCTTAACTTCCCTGTCTCAGAAGTGATTCTTCTCACCTGCATGACAAGGCATTCAGCATATTGTATACATTCTTTGAAATCAGGTGGAAAGTATTGACTGCTTACCAAAATGAAATTGCTCCATAACAGAACAATTAAACCAGTGCATAATAAAACATTCTCTAACTGGAATGTAACATTTTCATTAGAGTTTATACTGAACTGAGTCACCCATAGCAGATTAGAAAATACAGAAATACTTTCCGTTTTTAATACAAAGAGTAACTGTTTCTCTGCAAGTACTCACAAAGCTGCTCAAAAGTGAAAGCCAATTTTATTTTTTAAGAGGGAAGTAAGAGCAATTTAAGGCCAAAGTATCAAGCAAGGAAGACTAATATGTGAAAGTAGACAAGAGCTTTTAATAAATTTGATGCCAAGGCATTTGCAAGGTTATGCCTCTATCTACTAGCTAACCTGTAAAGCTGTTCACAGGAAAAGACATTAGAGAAAATATACTTTATACAAAACTATAAAATGCTTGTTATATGAATTATTGCTTTACAAGGGATGTAAACCATCCTTTTTCTATGATAGTACCAATTAGGTCTCTTAAAATTTCTAGTTTGTTAAAATGGAACTTGAATTATGCAAAAAAAAAAAAAAAACAATATAAAATTTCTACAAAAAAGAGTCCATCCCATTCCTGAGTATGCTAAAGCTATAAAATAGAAGGAGTGATGGGGAGACAGCAGTTTTCACAGTAAAAAGCTCAAGGGCATTTTCTTTCTACACACTGTTTCCCTCCTTCTTCATATTCCTGTTTAGAAATCCACATCTGTTGGAAAGTACCCTACAAAAAACAGAAAACAAATTAAGGCTGAATGAAACATGACTGGCTTCCCGTAGGAGGAAAAAGAAACAAGTCTTTCCATTCAACGTGGCAAGAGGACTATGTTTTCTTTTGTCTTTTATATTGCTAGTGATTAAACTGAAGTTGGGAAGTTGCAGCACCAAAAGCTGATTTTAGTCTCCCTTTCCAAATACTGCTAAATGAATCTCCACAAAGCCTTGAAGTGCTCAGTAACTTGTACCATTAAACTCAGGGATATGATGCAGAAACAAGTTGGCTACTTCTACAATATACTACCTGTTACTTCTGGACATTGTATTTCGAGCCTGTACATTGCCCATTAAAAACATAAGAAAACCAATTATTAGTTTCTGGATTTGAAAAATCACGTTGGCTTGTTTTTTAAAGAGATTCCCTTTACTTCACCGCAACAACAAACAGGACAGTGACTGTCACAGTAGCACAAACGCTTCAATTCACACACCCCCACACGGAATTAACTTTTTGGACAGCAACTACTGCTTAGCATAGCAACATGGTAACATAGATTTACTAACCAAAGAAGCCAAAATGGAACCACCAATCCATGAACTGAACCTCCGCTCCACTGTTGTGTTGTTTGCTATCAATTTCAGGCGCATGCTCTGCATAGAAAAGGGTGGGGGGGGAAAGAAAAATCAGATAAAAATTGCAGGCTGGAGCCCTTTAAGAGCCTGAGAAGGACAGCACAAAGAACATGGTTTGCATATACCAACCAGCAAGTGAAGATCTATTTTATTACACTTGCAATAGCGTTCACCAGCTCTGTTATTTAAAATTCCAGATTGGCCACACATGAACAGAAGTATATGTGGCCTTTTATCTTCTCTACTAACAGGGATAAGCAGCGAATGCTTAAGGCTAAGAATAAGGCAGGTAAAGAGCCATCCTACTCACACCACATACTGTTATCTCTAGCACAGGAGTACCTGAAGTGTACACTGGGACCAAGATGTCTAATATTGAACCTAATTCATCTAGTCCCTTTTTGAACCCGTTCTTTTTGCTCTCAAAATGCCTCGTAGCAATGAATCATATGGTTTAAACATATATTGTATTTCTACTGATAGATGAGGGGGAAATCCACTGAAATTATCTATTGTAAGCAGCAGTGAATAACTGTACCTTTCTCAGCCTTCCAAAAGAATTATGATTTCAAATGTCCCCACAAGTTGAACATTTCAATTAAAGAAATATCATGTTTTATACCAAGGCAAGTTCTCAAGAACACTATGCAATGGTATTAATACTTTCTTTGACACTGAGTACTTTAAAAATTACAAGTATATTAAATCACCAGCTTTCTATCTATGAGTAGGAGGTGTTGCCTGTAGAATCCAGGAAGAACAATTCCTGCTACAAAGCGACAGGACCTCAAGCAGAATGACTAAATGGGCCTCAGGTTAGTCAGCGACACTTCAGGAGAGAGGCCATCAAGGGAAGTAGTGACAATCGCTTAGGTTCAGTTACACAGCTTAAAATCACAACCTGAAAGCAGGAACGGAGAAGGACATCAGCAGTACTTCGGAAAGTAGTAGTTCTTTCTTTTCTGTAGCTGTGTGGGGTTTCCCCCCCCCCCTCCCCCCCCCCCCAAAACCTATTCAGCTGTTGCGTTCCTAGTGAAGTCGAAGCTACAAAACATGCCTGTATATTTATAAAGCAGAGAAGCAAAACAATGAGTAACTCAAAGCAGTAATTGAATGAGTTGTTTTACCGGTGGAGTTTTCTGAGACAGCTCTCTGTTCAATCTATCTGTAAAACTCTGTATTAGAGTGTTTCCACCTGCTACAATCACACTGCCATAGAGGCCCTAAAAAGAGAAAGTAACTCATAGTATTAACTCTGAAAGCATTTGGAAAACAACCGTTTCACAGAAAAGACAAGAATGCCACATAAGGACATATAATCAACAGCAATAGTAGTACATCACGTGATGCCCACGGTATTACCTCTACCAATCTAAATTAGTTATTTACCACATAAAAAAATATTTCAAGAGAGCTTAAATATCAAACTATGCAAGGAAGACAGAGGCAGTACGATTATGGATTCTCTACTGTGGAGAACCTTGCATCTATAGACACCTCCTAGATCCTGAACTGCTTGTTCCCTTGTAGCTGGATTTTCCAACCGCAAAGGAAAGAGAACCTAACCGCACTGCCACAGTTTTCCATCTAATACCGCAGCTGGAAAACATCAGTCATGACCTAGCCTATTCAGCCAGCCTGACGTGCTAGTTAAGGGGCAGAATTATTGAACCAACCCCTACACAGACCGTATCAAATCCGAACCTATCCAAATCGACACCTGAGAAAATGAGAACATAGTTTTAAAGAGAAACTCTTCCTTTAAAACCTCTCCGCTTCTACTCTCCCCCAACAAGTCAGGTACAATTAGTTACCTTTAGGAAGTACATTAATCGTCCCCCAAAATCTGAAAATAACAGTCAAAGCTGTGAACGGAAAACGATCATCTGAAGGCAATTCAATGCACATTATGTAGTGCCAGCTATAAAACCTGGACATCAACTATTTATATATAGGTAGACACACTGAGTAAGAGTCAGAAAACCTGATTCAGCATTTTGTAGGACAGAAACAGTAATCCCACGTTC